CCTCCCCATCTCCCTTTTTGGATTCATCTGTTGTAATGCCCCCTTTACCGCGCCGATGACAGGCTGGATATTGTCGCATTCCAGTAGACAGTGCCCTAGGGTTTCATCCTTGTCACAGTGCGGGCAGCCGATGCGATCTTTCATGAACTTCAGTCTGTCTCCCACCTGGAGATTCTTGCTGTGTAGTCGCAAGATAATCTCCCTCGCCCTGCCCGGGGTGATCAGAGAGTCCCTTTTCCTGATTGTCTCTTTCCAGTCGATAGGTTTCCCATACTCCTGCTCCCACTTTATCTGCTACTTCGGTTGCCCCATTGGTCCCTTGAACGCCGCTCTCAGCTTCCTCAGAGGGGCTCCTTTCCCCTTTTCACACACCGACAACCTCAGCCGTATAAGTGGGGCGCCAGCTTCTCCCATCAGTAGGCTATTTTCCACTAGTAGCGGTGTTAGCCTGTGAACTTCGACCCGCAGCTGATTAGCTCTGTTGGATATAAGCACTTCTCCCCTTTTCCCCACTTCTGCTGGCTTACACATAATCCCACCGTTGTCCACCGATATCAGCTGCCAGTACACAATTCGCCCCGATAAGGCACATGTGTAGGCAAACCATGTTAACTGCATCAGCTCCTCCCCGGTCAGCTTCGCCAGGAGGGCCTTTTTCCAATCGTCTGGCACCGCTTTCCATGCTTTGAGCGCCCAGCGTGCCGTTGTTGAACTGCCCGTCTCTTTGGTCAGGGCCCATACATCCTTGACCTTCCGCGTGCCATCCCATTCCACATGGACGAAGTCTCCCAATTTCAGCTCCAACAGGCACTTAGAGCCCTTCTGTCGCCCAAAGGGACTCTTCCCCTGATAGAAGATGTATCTGCTAAAATAGATTCTCTCATTCGCATACTCCCAATGATTTGCCGGCGCGGGGAACTTCAGCTGCAAGGTCTGCCAGAAAGTTATCACCGACCTTCTCCACTTCTCTCCCCCCCCATTCCACAGCCTCAGGACCGATCTGTGAGCCAGGAGCGTCGCCCACCCGAAAGGCATCCCCGCCGCTCTCTCCGTTAACTAGCACTTCATCGGGTCCCTTTGCTGAACTGTGTCTCCCAGATTTTTCAGGGCCATACATTCCACCCTCATTGTCAGGTTAATAACTCCCAGGCCCCCCTCTTTCCTGTCTGTGTAAGCCAGGTCTCCGCTCCAGAGAATGAAGTGCTTGTCCGCCGATGCTTTACCGCTGGACGTGAAATTGTGACTAGTCGCGCAAAACTCCTTCCACGTCCTTTTCGGTGGCGGGTATACTTGCGCCTGGAAGAGAAGAATCGGCGTGGCGTAAGAATTGAGCACCGATACCCGCGTGGACATGCTGACACGCTGGTTTTGCCACTTCACCAACACCTCTCGCGCCCTATCTGCAGCCTTCTCCCACGATGGCTCAGGGCTGCCTCCTGAGGTTATGTAAACCCCAAGCAGCCGTTGTGGCTCATCCTTTCCAGCCCATGTATACGGTGAGTCCGATGGCGAAGGTAAATCTCTGTTCTTGCCCAGCGGCACAACCACCATTTTCTCCTTGTTTACCCTCAGTTCTGAAATATTACCGAACTCTTCCAGCAGCTCACACGCCTTGCCGATCTGCTCCTTACGATTCAGAAACACTGTTGTATCATCTGCATAACCCAGATATGCAACTTCTCCTATGCCTCTCTTCTGTACCCCTAACCGTCTCCGTTTGATTTCCTGACTGAGTGGCTCTGCTGCGCAGATGAATAGATAAGGTGCGAGCAAAGCAGCCCTGCCTGACACCTCTCTCGACCTCCTCCTTGCTTCCCAGCCAGCCGTTGATCAGCAGCTGTGTGCCTGAGCAATCTTGTAATCCCCTCGTCCACCTGACGTACTCTTCTGGAAAGCCCATCCGCTCCAGCGTCCAGAACATGTATTCCCTCGAGATTGAGTCATACGACGTCGCCCTCCAAGCACTAGCCCCATGCCCGACGTACTGCACAAGTAGCGCAACACCCTCTTCCCTGCAGCCATGTGCTCTGGCCTGTGTCTGCCAGGAGAAACATAGCGTGCCAAGAAGCTAAGAGGGTATGCAAGGTCAGGTCGTGTGCAGGTCATCAGGTAAATGAGGCAGCCAACAAGCTTTGGGTACGGGCCACTCGGCTCTACGGACTCATCCGAAGGCAGAGCTGAGAGCGAGTGGCGAGTAGACAGGGGAGTGGCCTGAGGCGAGGAGTACGTAAAGTCGAAGCGCTGAAGGACCTGCTGCACCATGTGTGACCGAGTCAGGGTAATGGTGCGTTGTGCTCTGTCCTGGGTTATTTGCAAGCCAAGGTAGCTGCGCAGTTCACCCAGGTCTGTGCACGTGTTGTTCTTCTGCAGCTCCGACTTCACATGGGCGAGTCCCTCAGTGTCAGCAGTGGCAAAGAACCAAGTCTTCATCGTACACGAGGATGTAGAACGGCGGCAGCGAAGTGTCGGTGCGCAGAAACAGCGACGGGTCAGCAGTAGAAGGAGCAAACCCAAGAGCCGCAAGTGTAGTCCTCAGTGTGTCGTGCCACTCCCGCGGTGCCTGGCGAAGACCGTAGACTGGCCGCCGGAGGCTCCACTGGGTGCCGGGAGGAAAAGACCCAGTGAAGCCAGGTGGGCGGCGCAGCCAGATCTCCTCGTGCAGGCTGCCCTGCAGGAAAGCTGTGCTGAAGTCAAGAGAGTGAAGCTCGTAGTCACGCTGAGCAGCTATGTGCAGCAGTACCCGAAGAGTGGTCATCTTTGGGGTGGGAGAGAAGGTCTGAAAGTACTTAACTCCCTGCCGCTGACTGAAGCCACGAGCCACGTACCGCGCCTTGAAGACAGGCGGAGAACCCGGCGGCCGCTTCACCCTGAAAATCCACATGCCACTGACGATGTTCGCCCCAGGCGGGGGAACCTCGTCAACGTAGGTGCCTGTGGACTTCCAGGAAGCCATCTCTGCGTCCATAGCTGCCTGCCACTGAGAGGAGTAGGGACCCTCTATCACCTCCGCGTAAGAGCGCGGAGTCGGGATGTTAAGTGCATCCAGGTCTCCCTCACGGGTAAGCAGTACGGACACGAGATGAGGTGAAGCAGCAGCCAGACACTAGAACTCCTCCTGCCTGTCCTCAAGGACGTCCGTGGGGCACACTCACCCCGGACGGACGGAGGACAGACAGACTCAGACTCAGCGACAAGACTAGCAGCGTAGTCTAGACAACAGCGAGCAGCAAAGTCAACGAGCTCAGCAACTAAGGCAGACGCAGTAGTGGACTCAAAGGAAGGGTCAGTAACGACAGTAGCAAGGAGACGCGTGACAGTGGGACTGGTAGCACGAAGAGAGTCCGACTCCGGGTCGGCAAGAGCAGGAAGAGAGGACTCAGGAGGAGAAGGCAAAGGGGCACGCAGAGGAGCAGTGGACGGACGCGGAGACATCCGGTGCGTGCCAGGGACAGGAGGAGGACGCTGATGCGAACCACGACTACCAGTGCGAGCAGCACGGACAGGCAACGCAGGATGAGACGCAGGCTCACGACGCTCAGCAAGACCTCCAGTAGGACAAGTGTAGGGAGAAGGAGCAGGCAGTGGGGAGGACGGCTGTAACTGTAGCTGTGACGGGATAGCTGTGGACACTCTAAGGGAGGAGGAGGACCAGCAGAAGTCGGGAGACCAAGAACCTGCTGTAGGAGCGGAACGAAGTACGGCCGAGGCCGCGCGGCGACTCCTGACACAGCAGGGACAGCACCAGCACCCCCAGTGGCAGCACCAGCGCCAGGAGCACCTCCAGCTCCAGTACCTCCAGCAGCACCAGTAGTACCCCCAGCAGGACCGCCTCTAGGACCGACAGCAGTAGCCTCAGCGCCAACACCCTCAGCAGCTCCAGCTCCAGTCGCACCCGCAGGCCCAGCAGCTCCAGTACTCCCAGCACGAGCACATCCGGGACCCACGGCACCAGCACCCTCAGCAGCGGGAGAACCTCCAGCTCCAGCAGCACGCCTCCAGCGCCAGGCAAACCACTCACGCAGCTCCTGTGGAGAGAGGGGCTCCCGTCGAGACGAAGCACCCGGAGAACCTCCAGGCCCAGCACCGCAAGACGCCACACGAGCAGGCCCAACTCCCTCAGGCTCCGCACCTCCAGGCTCAGCACCTCCAGGCGTAGCACCGCCAGGCTCAGTACCCCAAGGCTCAGCACCCCCAGTCACAGCACCCCCAGGCTCAGCACCCCCAGTCGCAGCACCCCCAGGCTCAGCACCCCCAGTAGTAGCACCCGCAGGCTCAGCACCCCCAGGCGCAGCACCCACACGCTGAGCACCCCCAGAGTCAGCACCCCCAGAGTCAGCACCCCCAGGCTCAGCACCCTCAGTAGCACCAGAGTCACCAGTAACCTCGACAGGCTCGACTACGTCTACCTGGGACACACCTGAAGGGGCAGGACCCTGAGGGGGGAGGGGGTCTACCGGGGGGGGGACCTGGTACAAGGAAGAGCGGTGGCGGGGGGAGTGACGAAGTGCGGTAGGGGAAGAGGCGGTAGTAGGGGACCGACTCGTCAAAGTGACGTCCTGGGAGGACAGAACACGGCGAGAGGTGGGGTGGTAGAACTGCCACCCTGGCGCGTCAGGGGGGAAGCCAAGGAAGACGCAAGGAGCAGCACGAGGGGACAGCTTGTCCGCAGACAAGTCGCGAACAAACGCCCGAGATCCCCAGACACGGAACGCAGACGCATCGCCAACCTTCCCCGTCCAGAGCAAAGCTGGGGAGGTCTCCGGCATGGAGACCCTGGGGTGAAGGTTGATCTGATGCGCCATGTACCGAACCGCAAACGGCCACAGAAAATGGGGGGCAGCCGCATGCATCATGGGCGTACGAGCAACATCCATGACCATGCCAATGCGGCGCTCAGCAATCCCATTTTGCTGTGGAGAGTCCGGAAGCGTGAAGGCCTGGGGATGCCTCCTGCACGACAGTAGGCTCGCAGAAGGCCAGAGGAGAAATCTCCGCCTCTGTCAGAGTGCAGACGCAGAACAGGAAAGTCCGAGCCGAAGCTCTGCCTGAGCTGGAGACGAGCTGCGCGGATCCAGTCGATCAACACCGCAATGACATCACCCTTGCTGCGCAAGGGGAAGACTGTGGTGTAACGCGAGTAGTCGTCAACCACCAGCAGGAAGTAGCGCTCGTGACCCTGTCCACGGAAGCGGGCCGGGCCCCACACGTCCATGTGAAGCGTCTGCAGCGGGGCCTCTGTCGGAGGAAACTGGGAGGAGTTAGGGGCAGCCCGCTGCCGCCCCTGGACACAGGGGACGCAGGTAGGGCCAGGCCCAGGAGGAAGGGGAGGGAGGGACCGGGGAAGACCAGGGACAAGTACACGGGAGGCCATGCCTCGGAGACGAAGCAGGGAGGGGTGACCAAGGCGGTGGTGCCAGAGAAGAGTCTCGTGAGACAGGAGGCGACACGAGCAGGGGGCAGACTCAGGACCAGACCTGGACGCTGTAGCAAACACCTGACTCGACGAAGCTACCTGACCAGACGCAGTGTCTGGAGGGGACGCAATGGTCAGTGTGTACAGGCTCGACCCCGGCCGACGTGTAAACGTGGCCAGGTGTCGGCCTGTCCGAGCGTCCGTGCAGTGGGTCACCCGCTGACTCGCAGGAGTGAACTGGTGAACCCCCGCATCCTGTAGGTCAGCACCACTCACCAAGTTCGTAGAGAACGAGGGGAGGTAAAGGCCAGAAAGGGTGCTAGAGGGGGCCGCCGGACATGGGAGGATAGTGGAGTAGTGAGCAAGGACAGGACCCCCAGAGGGGTGTGCCAGAGAGACTGCAACTGGCCGGCCAAGCGGCGTGAGTGTGGTGCGGTCTCGAAAGAAGGAGCGAGAAGCCCCCGAGTCAAGGGTGAAGGTGTGGGAGGCCGAAGCCGACGCAGTACCTGAAAGAGCAAACTCACCAGCACCTGAGGGAGCAGACGCACAAGCACCTAGAGCAGCAGCCTCGCTAGCACCTAGAGCAGCAGCCTCACCAGTACCTAGAGCGGCAGTCTCAATGCCCGGGTCGGGCGGAAAACACCGGTAAGAGTCACCCTCATCACTAATAGTCACAGCATACATGGCAGCAAGAATAGCATCAAAGTCAAGGTCAAAGACAGCTACTCCCGCCCTAGACAGCTCACCCCAGCGGGGGATCTCCGTGGCCTCCGAGAACTGGTGACGCCAAGCGTCCGTCAGACAGCCAAAGCAGCGCTGGGTGGAGTGCGCACCCCCGCACTGCTCACCCGCGCGGTCGCCGGTGCGTAGAAAGTAGGTGCACGGACCAGTACCCCCACCCCGCTGGCGTGCAGCGTACCACTCACGGAGCTGCATAGAGGAGGGGATGTCACGATTGCGCTGCTGCTACTGCTGCTGGTGCTGGCACTGACCACCACCGGAGCCGACCCTCTGCGCAGCGCCACCCCGACCAGCTCCACCTCCTTCCCCACCACCTCCTCCACCGCCGCCACCTCCGCCACCATCTCCGCTCCCACCGCCACCGCCGCCGCCTCCGCCTCCACTGCCGCCACCGACACCTCCACCCCCGCCACCACCCCCACCGCCACCCTCGCTCCCTCCGCTGCCTCCACCGCCGCCTCTACCGCCCCCGCTAGCTCCTCCAGCGCCCCTGCCCCCTTTGCCCTTGCGAGGGCGGCGTCTCCCGCTAGGGGTAGATGCCGCACCGACCGACTCAAGTCCAACGAGGTCGGCCGCAGCAGCAGATGCAAAAGAGGGCAAAAGGGGGGAGTGGGAACACCCCTCAAAGATGGGGGTGCGAGGGTCACCACGAGACGCTCCTACAGCGACTATGCTCTTCTCCGCTGCTAAGAAGGCCTTCTCGAGGAGGTCAACGGTGAGGGTGGTGGGACAAACTAAGAGGAAGTGGTCCCTGACTACGCGAAGGGAGTCAGGGAGGCGGGTGACTATGTCGTAGAGAGTGATGTACATGGGGGGTGGGGTTCTTGGCGCAGAACTCAGCAGGAAGCGCAGCGCGGTAGCGAGTGTCACTAGTGCGGAGGTGCGTAATGAGGTCAGCGACTGTGGGAAAGGCAGCAAGGTCAGGGAAGAGGTACGGTAGCATGAGGCGGCTCTGTGCAGCAGTGGCAGGGGAGGAGTAGCGTGCAACTACAGCGTCGTACAAGGTCTGAGCAGTCTTGTACTGGCTAAAGTGCGCACGCTCAGAGGTAGGCAGGTGGCGACGCACAGCAAGACGTGCAGCAGCATCGCGTGTGGCCCACTGTGAGCGAACAGTGGCGTCAGCATCAGCAGCAGGGGCAGGAGAGGTACCAGAGGTGAGGTCAAAGAGGGAGAGACCATCTGCCCTATCACACTGTAGGAAAAGCTGCCGGTCATCTACCTAGACATCAAAGTCAACGGCCCGACCCTCAGCGTCAAAAGCGAGGACACTTGGGGTAGCCATGACAGCAGTAGACTAGTAGCGCGAACAGTGGGGTAAGGGCAGTGCAGTGATAGAGGCGCTGCTCTTACCGGACAGGACCGCTCGGGCGGCTCGGTGGCTCACTGGCTCGGCAGGAACTGCAGCTTGGCGGCTCGGCAGGAACTGCAGCTCGGTAGCTCGGCTACTCTGCGGCTCGGCTACTCTCCGGCTCGGGCGGCTCGGGCAGCTCAGGCGACTCGGGCGGCTCGGGCAGCTCAGCGGGACGGCGGCTCGGGCGGCTCAGGTGGCGCGGCGGCTCGGGCGACTCAGGTGGCGCGGCGGCTCGGGTGGCGCTGGCGGCTCGGCAGTAGCTCGGCGAGGCCGCGTGAAGGCGGGGTCGGGGCCGGGAAGGGCGTGCGACGGGGCCAACAAGGGCTGGGCCGGGGCCGGGAAGGGGCAGCGCCGGGGCCGTACGGTAGGCGACGGGGCCAGCAGAGACTGGGCCGGGCCAGTAAGGGCGGCGTCGAGGCCGGGAAGGGCATCGCCGGGGCCGCAAGGAGGCAACGGGGCCGCAGGCAGGCGACGGGGCTGCAGGTAGGCGACGGGGCCGCAGGTAGGCGTCGGGGCCGCAGGTAGGCGACGGGGCCAGCAAGGGCGGGGCCGGGTCGGGAAGGGCGGCGCGAGGGCCGCGGGGTAGGCGACGGGGCTGAAAGGGCGGCGAATCGGGGCCGGGAAGGGCGGCTCGAGGGCCGCGGGGTAGGTGACGGGGCCGCTAGGGCGGCAGATCGGGGCCGTCAAGGGCGGCGCAACACAGCCGCTAGGGCGGCGCGACACAGTGAGAAAGGGGGAGCGCGACTCGGGCAAGGGCTGAGTGCGCTCCGGGCAGGAAAAAAAGAAATCGAATCGGTGGGCCCTAGGAACAGTTCCCACGAGGGAACCTGCTCGATACAATGAGAAAACTGAAACGAGAATGAATGCACTATGAAAGAGTTGGGTACAAGTACTAACCCTAATTGGGTTGTACCCCATAGTTGGTGAAATTCTCACCGAGCACCTCTCTCTGTAATCCCGCCATAGTTTGCAACTTCATTCTCTGTCCCTCCTGGTATGCCTTGAGCATAGACCAAAATTTTGTCAGCTGCTCGTAGCAGTCGTCGCCACCAGTCCCATTCATGAATTCTTCATTCAAACTCTCCACTTTCTCCTCTAACCGTAACACTGTTTTGGTAATCCTTTTTCTCTCTTCTCTCGTGTACGCCTGTATACTTGACCGTAGCTTGACCAGTAGATCGGGGAAACTCTGATGCGGCTGACCCTCCTGCTCATCCATGATCAGTTGGATCCTCTTCCTGATCCCCGGTTTCTTAGCTTGTGCAGCATGCATTCGCCACATCCTCGGCCCATTACTGCTGCATGCGACAACATTGATGTCCACCGAGACTGCATACCAGTGGTCCGATATGCCATGAGGGACGGATGAATGGTACGCATTCCCGACACTTTGGAGGAGAGAATGCGACACCAACGCCTTGTCGATATGAGATTTCTCCTTCACCGAGTGCGCGTAGAAGGTATATTCTCGTTTCGTCGAGTGCAGGGTCCGAAACGCATCTTGTAAGTCGAGTGGTGAGAAAATGTCCAACAGCCTCTGATTCTCCCTTGCCGATCCTATTTTCGATGATTTGTCAATTCTCGGATCTGCTATCACATTCAAGTCGCTGATGAGAATCGTGTGAGGCACCGGCGTGAGATTGCAGTTGAAAGGCATCAAGCAGTCTCTAAATAAGATAGTTCTGGCTGATGCCTGTGCAGGGAAGTAGGTGGCCAGAATTCTCCAAGTCAAATCTCCTCTCTCCACTGTCACCGCTACTAGTTGTCAAGATACTAAGCTAGTTGGGCTTAGAAGCCATGGCTAGAGTAACTTAGTAGCTTAGGTTTTTAGGGTTGAAGGAGGTGTCGAGAGAGTTGAAGCAGGAATGAGTGACTTCACTAAGAAAGATGAGTACAAAATATAGCAAGGAGAAGCATGGTGCACCACCTACAGCAAATCGGGATGTGCTACACTCTACACTGCAGACAATTATAAAGAACATATATAAATATAGTTCAAAACACCTCCTAATTGATTGCAGTGAGAACCATGTACAAAACACCCCCTGAAGTGGTACACCCTGCAGGGCGCAACAGAAGAAGAGGCGAAGTGAGGAGGAGGAGGAGGGACTGTGAGAGGAGTGGAGATAGGAGTCGACAGGTGAAGCCGCAGTCACACGGGCAACAGGAGCGGCGCGCACAGTGGCTATCGAGCGCACGAGGGCACCGGACTACGGGAGTATCTGGCTCCGCGGCTACGACGAGCGGCAGGAGCAACGGACCCACAGGCGACTGGCGAAGCACGCTCGCTGGGCTACCGAGAGCACGAGGGCTCCGGCCTCTGGCGCTGCTGACGACACGACGGCGACCTCCGCTCTACCTCCCCTAACAATCCCACACCCCCTTCTCACACACCCCCTTGCTGCACCCCTATCTCCACTCCCACGACACCCCCTTAGCTCCACTCCCCTCGGCTCCCACACATCCACCCCCCTTCAGCGGCAGCTGCAGCAGTAGGAGACGAAGTAGGAGGAGAAGGAGGGGAAGGGTAGCACCCACACTCATCACCCCCACACCCGCCACCCCCATACCCTCCCCCCACGGCTGCACAGGGTCTAGGAGCGGCGTCGCGGGCAGCTGCAGGGTCGGTAGCTGCAGGGGCGGCTGCTCCAGGGGCCAGGGGCGGCTGCTCCAGGGGCCAGGGGCGGCTGCTGTAATGGCGGCTGCTCCAGGGGCGGCTGCTCCAGGGGCCAGGGGCGGCTCCTGCAGTGGCGGCTGCTCTAGTGGCCAGGGGCGGCTGCTGCAGGGGCGGCTGCTCTTGGGGCCAGGGGCGGCTGCAGGTGCGGCTGCTCCAGGGGCCAGGGGCGGCTGCTATAGGGGCGGCTGCTCCAGGGGCGACGTCGCTGGTGCAGGGCAGGCCCGCGCGCTGCTCCAAAGCAGGCGCGGGCGCAGGGGAGGCATAGGCGGCGGCCACGGGGGGGTGCGCCGCGACGAGCAGGGACAGTGCCCAAGGGGCGCCGCGACGAGCAGGGGCGGCGCCCCAGGGGCGCCACGACGAGCAGGAGCGACGCCGCGCGGGTCCCGCAAGGGCGTCGCGACGAGCAGGGCAACGCCGTGCGGGTCCCGCAGGGGCGTCGCGACGAGCAGGAGCGGCGACGCACGGGTCCCGCAGGGGCGTCGCGACGAGCAGGAGCGGCGCCTCTGCAGGGCGCCGCGAAGGGCAATGTACGGGCAGGCAGAATAGGCCCGCGCGCGGACGTGGGGCAGGCGCACGGGTGGCGTGAGAGCAGGCCGCACGTGGGGCAAGAAGACGCCGCGCGCCCGGGGCGCACGGCGGGCAGAAAACCGCCGTGCGCCCCGAGCACACGGCGGGCAGAAAATCGCCGTGCGCACCGCGCGCTCGAGGCGCGCGGCAGGATGACAAGCAGCGGAAGCAGACTAGTGGGCCCGTTAAGGAAGGCAGCAGGAAGGTGCCTGCTTTGAATACCATGTCAAGATACTAAGCTAGTTGGGCTTAGAAGCCATGGCTAGAGTAGCTTAGTAGCTTAGGTTTTAAGGGTTGAAGGAGGTGTCGAGAGAGTTGAAGCAGGAATGAGTGACTTCACTAAGAAAGATGAGTACAAAATATAGCAAGGAGAAGCATGGTGCACCACCTACAGCAAATCGGGATGTGCTACACTCTACAGTGTAGACAATTATAAAGAACATATATAAATATAGTTCAACACTAGTCTGCCAGAGTCATGCGTGCAAATGTCCCTAAACACTACCCCCGTCGTGCAAATGTCCCTAAACATTACCCCCGTCGTGCAACACCCCCCGCTCCACCAGCCGGAGAAATCGCCGCAAAAGCGGAGGGGTTTAGTTGCGTCTAGAAGTTGTGGTCTGCATCCACTCTAGTATCTGTAAGTATTAGCACATTTGCTGCCTTCTTGATCCATACAGAATAGCCCACAGACATCTACAGAAGAGAAGATAGAGCTTATCAGGAAACAGCTAACTACCTGCTTGAGTACAGACTGCACATCCTCCTTATCATCTTTGCCGCTTCTCCCACTCCTGTAGCCGCAGGAACACTGACAACCATTGCCGGCTGGGTCCATTCCTCTCCTCTCCACCATCACATTCCATACTCCTTGGTGACGGCCAGATTTGCCCTCCCCGTTGTCTCCTTGGTAGCCGATCCCAACTCCTCCAGGTGAATCAGATAATTCGGAGATGTGATATGGTCTGCAGCTGTCATGAAAGACGGTCCTTTCGCCTTTCCACACCCCGACATATCCATTCCTCCTGATTTCCCCCCGTTGACATCAGCACAATAGCAGGATCGAGGAGGATGGGGGTGACTAGTGGTGACGTGTGAGTGGCCGCGGCTGCAACAGGTGACCCACTTGTTAGTACAGAGCGGAAAAGGAAATTATGAAACTAGTAAAAGCATAGTCAAATCCTTGTTACCGTTGATCTTATGCACCCTTCTCAT